AGTTTATGCATGTGAGGTGCTTAGCTCATATTACCAACTTGGTAGTGAAAGATGGTTGGATACAAGTGTGGATGCTCTTAGAAATGCCGTGCGGTTTGTGAGATCAAGTCCCCAAAGGTTTAGTTATTTCAAGAAATGTTTGGAGAAAGATAAGTTGGATAGTAGGGGTCTAGTTGTTATGGATGTGCCTACTAGGTGGAATAGCACATACATGATGCTAGAATCTTGCTTGAAGTTTAAAAAAGCATTTGAAAGGATGTACGAAGATGATGAAGCCAATATATACTCCACCTATTTCAGGGAAAAAGGTGTTTAATGATGAAGGAGAAGAAGTGGCAAGTAAAGGGAGGGTTGGACCACCTAAGGAGGAAGATTGAGATGGTGCAAAAGTGTTTGTGAAAATTTTGAAGGCCTTCTATCTTGTAACTTTGAAAGTTAGTGCAAGTATGTATCCCACATCTAATACAGTTGTTCATGATGTCATTACTGTGGAGAACGAGATTGAAAAGCTTTTTTTGCCAGAATATATGCAAACTGGATGAACTGTAGAGTTTGTGCTACGTGATATGGCAATGAGCATGAGAGCCAAATATCGAAAGTATTTTGGTTCAATTGAGTCCCTTAATCAAATATTTGTAGTTGCCCTTGTCTTAGATCCAATGTTCAAATTGAGGCACTACATACACTTGTGTAAAAAGCAATTACAGCTTCCTGAAGAAGAGATTGAACAGAAAAGTAATGAAGTGAAGACATTGTTGAAGGCGATGTGTGATATATATGAGCTTTCAGTTCACAAACACAACAAAAGGGTAGAAAAGATTTAGTTGTTGACACTTTTTGTTCAAGGGTAAAACAATCATCTTCTAGTGTGGCAATAGAAAATCCAATGATATTTAGTCAAATGATGGATGATTGGGAGAAGGAACTAGAAGACACCGGGGATATTGTGCTTGCACATGAGGTGGATAGGTATCTCCTTGACACTCTAGAGAAAGCACCACATGGTTCACCATTTGACGTTTTGAAATGGTGGAAGTTGAAAGGGATGTGCACATATCCCACACTTGCTTTAATAGCGAAAGATGTGTTGCCAATTCAAGTGTCAACAGTTGCCAATGAGAGTGCATTTAGTGCAGGAAAGAGAGTAATTGACCCCTTTAGATCATCTCTCCTTCCTCAAACAGTGGAGTCATTGATATGCCTCCAAAACTGGTTAAGAAGTGAACCAGTTAGTAACATTGAGTATGAAGCAAGTCCGGCGGAGCTTGAATTTTATCAAGAGTGTGAAGAAGGTAATTATTTTGTTTTGTATAGTTTGGTTTATAATTTTATATTAATTGGTTTACAATTAACGTGCTTTTGTTCTTTGTTGTAGAATATAAAAGAAGAAGAGCAGCAGCAAATACTATATCTACAACTACAGCTACAAGTTCAACAATCTCACCAGGTGTTCCTGAAATTGAAGCTCTTCAAACAACTCGAACGAATAAAGGAAAATGAATTGCGGTAATATTTTAAACTCAAATGAATAAACTTTAAATTTCAATGATTCAATAAGGATAATATGATGTTAGACGTTAAAAATGTCATGTTTATATTCTATTTTTCCTTACATATTCAATGAGGAATGTTGTTGGAACATGGACGATGGATGTGGTTTGATTTTTGTTAATCTATGAATTTGGAGTCTTGGACGATGTATTGTTATTTTGGACGATGTCATGTAATATTGTTATTTTGGACTCTCGGAATTTGGATATGTTGTTATTTTGGATGTTGGTAGTGCCGTGGTAGTCTAATAGATTATGTGCAATTGCAATCTGTGTAATTGCTGCAATCTGTGGTTTGCAGTATGTGTAAATTGCAATAATCTCCTATAACCAACATAATCTGCAGCATTGATCTTCCTTTTACCAAAAGCCAACTTTATCCGCAAGAATTGTTAAAGTTGAACATGTGCAGTTGTGCACCAGAAGATGGCTGCAATATATTATATATAGCTAATAGCTTTAAATTTTTGTAGGATGAATATTGGGCTCCTCAAGATTTCAAGAGGCTATTATCGAACAATGTTTGAATCTGTGCCGGTGTAATGGTTGGAATGTAATGTTTGAAACTGAATTTGTGCTGTTGTAATTGTTTTTTCCCAAAATGATTATTTGGTAAAAACCAATTGAGCAATCTTTAACTCAAAATTGTCTCGAAACTCAAATAGTCATGAAAACAAGTTCATTTAATCATGCATGTTTATGTCACATTTTTTAGCAAGAGACATAAACTGTTTTTTTAATTCTTTACTGTATAGCCATCACAATAAATGAAGATAAAATAACGCTTTAATAACTTAATGCAAAAACTTTACAAAACAATATGATAAGAATAAATGCTGCAGCTTTGAGAAGGGGAAAAATGGCTGCTGCTTATTTTTCAAACATGGTTTATTAGTGCAATAGCATCGAGTGCAATCATTTTCATCTCATTGTTTTGATGATTCCCAGGTTAATGCATATTCACGAATTTAGTCTGTTATTTTATCTGGTTTGTCTCGCATAATAGTGTTTGCACAGGGAATATTATTTGAGTGTTGCAGCAGTAGTGTGTGAGGAAGAAAGAAGGGTTTCTAAGCCGCGTGGTTTTAAAAGAACAACTCCCACTAACTTTTTAGAATTTATACAAGGAAGTGTTATTGGCACTCCAAAAATCTCATTCTACACTCCTCACAATGTATTTTTCTTTCCTAATATAGAAAGTTTGGAGTGTAGAATGAGATTTTTGAAGTGCTAATAACAATTTCCTTTATACAATTAGGGAAGTATTATTGGCACTCCAAAAATCTTATTCTACACTCCTCATAAGTGTATTTTTCTTTCCTAATATAGAAAATTTGGAGTGTATTTTCATTAATTCTCCCACTTGGGCAAAAACTCAATAATATACTCTTTCAAAAAAATAAAAAATAAAAAAAAATATATATATATACACACACACTAAAGAGTATTTTCTTCCAAACAAATCATCTCCTATACATGCCATAAATTAGCCATGAATGAATCCAATACCTCATGCCTTTTAAATTCATATGTTCATCACTTCTTTATAAGCATAATCACATGACCAATGCATAATTCTCACATAAGACTAGATAAAATATAGATGAGAATTATCACATAATTACTACAAACCTCATTCATTTGTATAATGTTCTTGTCGCTGAATGCTTTCTTTTGTTCCATGCATGAGTAACTAATGATAAGCAAAGAGAAGCTTAAGCACAGCCTTCAATTCCAATAAACATCCCTCATCAGAATCAGTCGCGAACTCACACCAATGACAACAACTTGAGATATTACTAACTGCATTGCATCAAGTTAACTCTAAAACAGTCTTTGTTTCTTCCAGAGGAAACAAGTCAAACTCATCCAGCACAAAGGTAATTGTTTTATGACCTAATCCACACTCCCTTAACATCATCAAATGATGCCATTCTCGAAAACACCAACTGATCACTAGAACAAAACAGTTCATCCACCACATCAATTCTATCACGGGCATATATAACTCGTGGTAAAAACTATTCAATTACCACGGTCAAGTTTAACTCGTGGTAGATAACATTAATTCATCACGATCAAATTTTGGCCCGTTCTTAAAAACGAATAATCTACAACGAACATTTTTATTTGTGATGGAATATCATAATTACCACCAAATATGCTCGTGGTTACTTCAAACTACCACATCGTCTTTTGTGAATTCACCACGCCTTTGGCCTGTGATAGATGTTTTTAATTTTATTTTCATAATTGAAAACTTTTGGAGAAGGCGGGAGATTAAAAATTTGGAGGGCTGCCAAAATTTTGGCATAGCGCCCAAAATCTCTAACTCCCTATTTTCAAAGAGATCACGTTAGCTCTCCCTCCTCATTTTCATTTCTCTCTCGCAACTTCTCTGCCTTTCCTCTTCAGAAATTTCCAAACGCCTCCACCATGTGTTCTGGATATGAAAATCCATACGAGAATTCTCTGAAATTCGATCACGGCGGTGGCTCCGGCGGCTCCTATTTAGATGATAGGTATGGGGGATACAACCGAAGCCGATCCGATTTGGGTTCGGATCCATATGGGAAGTGGTATGATGCAGGTCCCGATGCGGGTAGGGCGACGGTGTTTATGCTTACGGAGGTGATAATTCTATTCCTGCAATGGCTAATAATCTCACTCCAGGTTCGTTAAATCTTCCTTCCATGTTTTGATTGTATACGATGCTTCTGATCATATACGTACGTCCTGATTAAATTTTGGGATTTCAATCCATTAGTATTATATTGGGCGGTTTCACATCTGGGTTCTTTGAGTTACATTTTTTAGCTGAAAGATCATTGATTTGCAAAAAATATTGATGTTTTCTGAATTCTCAGGCATTTCTTTGTATTGAGTTTCTGTATTTTTTTATCTATCTTTCGCAGCAATCAATCTTTTTCTTTACGTGTTTGATGAAATCTCTGGTACAAAGTTTACCCACTTGGGAATCTCTCTTAAAAGTTAACTTCTTTCAAGTGAAAAATTCATGTTATGGCTATATATGCTTTCTAGTATGTGATTTGGAATCTTATTGTATTCGAAATATTGTTTCTTGCTTCGTATGGATTCACTGTGTTACGATTTACACTGCATGTGTGTTCGGTAGTTGATCTGTTATCTATTTGAAAAATCACGATTAAAACAATAAAGGATTAGTCGGGCAACAGATGCTTTGTAAAGATGAACAATTTTTGTTTACTAAACATGCAGTTTCGAGTTTCCGAATCAGTTAATCTGTAGTTTTAGTTTTAGTACCAAAATTGGATAAAAGAAGGTGAATTGATTCTAACATAGTCCCAGTTGGAGCAACTGTGTGTTTTTTAGCTTAATTAATTGCATAGACGATGGGAAAGTTTTTGTATTAATTAACGTTAAACATATGTCCATGGCGGACTATTGCATATGCAACATTGAGGCGTAGATATAGCTTGTTGAACTTCTTTGCAATTTGATTAATACTGCTTAAATGATGTGACTGCAGCTCTGGACAAAAAATTGGTTTTGCATGAAGATTCTAAAGATGCATCCTCCCATAAAAAAGGAGGGTCACAAGATGACAAGTCCCTGGTTGTTTGCTTTGGGGAAATGCTAATTGACTTTGTGCCCACCGTTGGTGGAGTTTCACTTGCTGAAGCACTTGCTTTTAAGAAAGCTCCTAGTGGTGCTCCTGCTAATGTCGCTGTTGGAGTCGCAAGACTGGGTGGTTCAGCAGGTTTCATAGGCAAGGTACATTAGATTCTGTGGATGCTGGTATTAATTTCTCCTCTTGGCTTTTGCCTTTATTCCTGGGATTTCTGTTAAGAAGAAGGATTTCTCTAGTAACATTTTGTTCCACACATGTAATAATAATGAAACATAGAAAGACGCTTTCAACCTGTTTACTGAAACCCCCCAACGGTTCAACTCTATATTGACTTTGTTGAGCATGGCATGATTCAAATATGCATCTTTCTCATATTGTGTATTTAACCCATTTCACAATCTCCAGCAGACATGTATTCGAACGATGTTTTCTCTCATATCCCCTTGACACCGTTACAAGATGTGATGTAAGTTCATTTTACTTTAGCATCAAGTTTGTTAAGGAACTTTTAATTTATGTATTGAGGTAAAAGTAATTTGTATGTTTATTTTTTTTCTCATGCAGAAAACCGACTCATCTACCTTTGCCTTTTGGTCAAAGAGCTCTGTGGATATTGAGCCAATGCGTATTAGATTGCAGTCAAATAGTTACACTACCAACGCCTTTTTGGATACAGTGACTGCTGCAACTATACAGGTTGGAAATTACTGAGATGTATAAACATTGATACTTGTTTTGAGATGTATATGATGCTTTTGTTCTATGTGAAAATTACTGAAGGTCGGCTGGATTAATCATTTTGTTATCAACGCCTGTTTGGCCTTCTTTCTTATTTCGTTACTGCTGTTATTAGGTCCCCGATGAGGCAGTTACAAAATGCACGGCCTGTGGGTGAGATTTTGGGGCTTTATAGATCTCAGGGAGGCAGTATAGATCTTCTGTTGTTTATGTATTCATTAGGCACTACATGGATGGTACTTTATGACTTCCATTGTTTATGTATTCATTTGGAAACTCAAGTATTTTTAAATTAGGTTATAATATTATCAAGTAATTTTTAGGTAGTTATTATATTGTAGTAAATATGCAATTTTCTTGGTTATTCTGTAATAAATATATATATATATATATATATATATTTGTTATATAGTTTTCTTTTTTTTTTAATTTTGGAAAATAATTTATAACAGGCATTAGCTGTGGTCAATTAGTAATCGACAACAGTCATAGCACGTGGTGTTAGATCGCAATCTACAACGGATACAATCCGTGGTTATATTGCATTTGACAACGGGCATTGCCCGTGGTAAAAACTGAGACTTTTTATCACATCCAGAATACTAACGGGCATAGTATCCGTGGTGAATTGCAATTTATCACGGGCTTTCACTGTGATAGATAAGTTTTTTTCTTCTAGTGGATGTTCTATGCATAGCTCCCTAGTGATTTCCTTGAATGCGCAATTGTCACCGATATGTAACAGGCCACTTAACCACTACTTGGTGCATAATGTTGAAACTTTATAAGGGTTAGCTCATAATCAAGTATTACAAAGTTAGGGAATAAGGTTAAGTACTTATCTAGGATTAGAAGGCAATTATGGTGACAATGATCCTTTTACAGAGGTTACCACCAATTCCAAGACAGAGTTCATGGAAGCAGCCCAAGGATACAAGGCAGCTGAAGAATTCACATGTTGGTAATAGCAAGCCAGCTTTGATCACTCAAGGCTCCATGGATTCCAAATCCGGAAACAAGAAACTTCTTCCTGCCAAGAATTGTTAATAATCATGCTTTTCCACATGCATCGTCTATGTCAGGTTTTCAACCTTTTGTTAAGCCTAAATATGCTCATGACTCTGAAGGTGATGCTAACGAGAAGTCAAGATAATAACCCAAAAATACTTACATATACATATATATATATATATGTAAGCGTGCATATTATGTACAGGGTATGTGTAAATGCAAGCATTTAGTGGAAACACAGAAAGATAAGATATTCCCTTTTATGACATTTGAAACTCGAATTCACAAGATCCATAAATCAAACCACTCAAAATTTCCCTTCTTTGAAAATAAATATATGCATGTTATGATAGATGAATTACAATTTCATGCAACCTAATTCAACCTAATTCATGTAGCAATGTTTATTAGAAACCCATTTTGATGTGGTTTTGACAAGCAAATCCAAGTCGACTAACTTTGTTCTGATACCAAATGTTAGACCTATAAATGGTTAGTCTTCAACAAGAATCACAAAGCACATATCTTACATATAACATTGCAAGAGTTGGGATGAAGAAAGAGATCAACCAGACCTGAGGACCCCATCGATCAAGCAGCAAAGACAGCAACACCAAGAGAGTCTTCTACTCACTGAGGAACTTGATATCAAAACCCTAGCGATAGTTCCAAATCTTGTTTTGATGTAATCTTCCTGTAAGCAGGGACACCTCCTATATAGACTTATCACCCAACTGCATCCCAACTATCTTGGGATCGTCGAAGCCTAAAAAAACCTCCACGCTTGTTAGTTGTTAAACCACAACTAATGCACGTACATTTAGTGTCCTACAAACAAGGGATTTTATCCTCCAAATGGTTTTGTCATTAATTAATTAATTTCATGTTTGATAGTTCTTATTATGCTTAGTGACAATTCAATATAGTCCTAACAACTTAGAGTGTCTATTTCAATGGTTATACCCCCTTAGATCAACTCCAATTGTTGGAGCTAAAACCTAAACTTCTAGCCCAAAAATTTTAGGTTCTAATGTCAAAATAATTTTTCATCTCCAATGGTTTTAGCTTAAAATTTTAGCCCAGGGTTATTAAAGAATGAATTTTAGCCTAATTTTTTTTTCGGTAACTATTTTAAAATAAAATTTATTTAAATTCCTAATTTATTTTTATGAACATTTAACCCTAAAAATATTTAGATTCCGAAAAATAATGAAAAATCACTAAACCTACCCCATGAAACATGTGTTCCACGTAACTCATGGAAAACCTTTCTATACATATGAAACACATGAAACAGGAGTCGTATACGAAAGTCATGAATACATATGAAACACATCCATGAAACTCAACCAATATGAAACACATGAAACATCATCCATCAACCACCACCATTGATACATCCCGACCCAGGATGTCCACTTGGACTTTCAAATCGAGCTGTGTTGGCCAACACCATGAAGGTGACGAAGTTATAAAGTGTAGTGATGTGGAAAATGTGAATAAATTTAACTCTAAAAGTGCCTAAATATAATAGTGCGTTTGTGAGCGAGAATGAACCCATTTCACACGTGATGTCTGAGTATAAGTAAAGTACAGTAAAAGTAAAAGAGGAATTATACTGTCGGGAGCATTTCCATAACAATGTTTTTCCAGAATTCCTCGTCGACACGAAAGCTTTGCCACTAAAACCTGGAGGGGCGAAAAACAAGGGTGAGTGGGCCTAAAATAAAGCTTTGTAAAAACCTTTTCGAAAACATAATAACCTCTTGCCATAAAAATAGTATAGTTTCTAAAATATACATACTACGTATAGTATGAAAATACTTACCATAGCCTGCAATATCTCAAGAATTTAATATGTCTCAATATATTTCGTAAATAAACATCTAACGTCCAGTAATCACATAATCTCGCATAAACTAACATATTTTATTGAGTGCTCATCGACATATGTTGACACATGAGTTCATGCAGAGGTTTTCTGACATGAACATGATTGGTTGTAATAATGATTTACGCTCTAGTGCTACAATCACGTGAAGATTGATGTTATGCGCATCACATACGAGTCCTAATTGCCTATAGCAATCTAGGACATGGCTAGCACCTACAATGGATCCAAAGTGAGCATACGATGCAATGTGAACATAATGTAACGCCAGGCCCTGGCCCGGACGAGTACTAACACCAATGTAGCACACGATGAGCAGATAACGTAAATATAACATGCCACAACAATTCAATAATTCTAGCCAATATAACATTATTCCTGGCCGTAAATATAACTAAGGCATCCCTGCCATAGTACGCTTACCTGTGCATCCCGTAGGATTATAATTTCTCCTAATTCTCATCATTACGTCATTTCTTATAAACGTTAATTTAATTATGGCATCACATAGAAAATTTGTTATTAGATGTATATATGGAAACTACATAAATACAAAAAAAAAAAAAAAAAAAAAACACACACACATGCACAACACACACACTATATGAAAGAAAAGACCCACTCACAGATACTTGCAAGATCCGTTCGGACTAGGGAAGCTGGAGTCTCCGATAGTAATCGTACCTAAACATAATATTGGGACCTGTTAGTAAAACTCTACTAAAATGATTAAATTTGGGAAAACAGAGTGCGAATTTGGAATCAGGGTGTCAAAATATGCCAAGAAGGGTCTCGGGTAATTTTTGTAAAAAGTCACAGACAATCCTAAAATGTCAACAGAGCCGCCTTGACGGTTAACTACGCTAAAACTTTGGAATTTCACTAAATGGATGCCAAAATGGACCCAGGGCGTCAAAATTAGTTTAGGAGAGTTTTCAAGAAAATTTCAAAAAAGTCAACAAAAGTCAATTAACGATCAACAATTAACTTTAACGGAATATTCCATTCTTAGACGGAATATTCTGTTAAAGTTAACGAAATATTCCAAGGAAATATTCCCTCCATATTTTAAAATGGAAACGGGCTAGATCCGGGTTAGGGTTAACAGGTCATGGATTTGGGCCAGGTCTCGAATAGAGTTTGGGCCTTTTTTTTTTTCGGTTGTCGCTGCAACCACCAAAAACTACAAATTTGACCGGGGAAGTTCAAATCACCATAATGGTTTCAAAAATCAACCAAAATCAAAGATTTAAAAGCCAAAATGAAGCTAAGACAACAAGGATTTGAAATATACCTAACTGGGACTAAGTCGTGGCCAGAGTTAGCAAAATGGCTCGAAAACCACTAGATATCTGCCAGAAAACTAGGTAAAAGCTTCCCGAGGTGTTTCACTATGTCAAATGTCATAATGAAGCCAGAAACAACATGAAACTGGGATCTAAGACAACCTACATAAGTTTCAAGGTTTACCTTGCACGGAAACTTGAGGGTTCGCTGAGAACCCATCAGGGAAGACAATGAACAGTGGCTAGGCCATTGTCGGGACTCCATGGTCTTGGCCTAGGTCCAAGACGTGGAAGATCAGACGGTGGTGTAGGTCTGATTGGGTGGTGCAGCTTGCCAGAGACGGCGAGGCAAGGTGGTGGTGTCAGTGAGATCTCGGCCGTGAGATGTTGCAGACAGAGGAGAGTGTGAGAGATGAGAAAAAGGGACTTAGATTGTCTGCCCTCTAATTGTGGTGCCCTCCCCGTGCCCTCCTGTTTTTGTGGTCACGGTTAAGCCACGTCAACATTTTATATTACTATTTCTTTTTGTTTTATTATTTTTATAAAAAAATAATATAAAATATTTACGTGGCTTAACCGTGACCACACAAAACAGGAGGGCACGGGAAGGGCACCGAAATGGGAGGGCAGACAATCCAAGTCCGAGAAAAAGAGCTAAGAGAGATGTGAGAGAGAGCAGAAAATAGGCTAAGAGTTTGGAGAGGGGGACACATGGCAAGAGATAAGAGGAGAATTGGGTGAGTATGGGCCCCACAAGCCAAAAATATTAATAAAGCTCTAAAAAAATATTAAAATAATGATATAACAATATAAAATTTTGAACAAATAATCATGTTTAAGAAAGTATTTTTCGGATTTGTAGTTCCGTAAAATCTTCGTCGTAAGTTCGAATTCAATTATTCTTATGCCTACGCATTCATACCGTCAAGTACTTTGAGAATACGATAAAATAATAGTTCGTATGCATCACGAAATGACGGTCAACAAAAGTCAACGATCTCGTCACTAAAGGCGTTTTCGCCAATTCACTCTTTTAAATAAATAATGTCGCGCCCCGATCCCGACATACTTCCAAGATCGACACGTGACGTCACCAAATACTTGTATAACTCATATACCTCATCTCCAGAATATGGCAAATCACAATTTGAGAATCA